GAATAAAGCCTAATAAGATGTATATAAAGCTGTTAAAGAAAGGGGTTACTATTACGGCGCACGATATTACTAATAAGCGCACCCGGTATAGGAACGAGCTTCTTGGCGGCCTTACGCCTATCCAGGCGCTCCTCTATACATTAGAAACCTCTATATTCCCGGCACCTAACGGCCGTAATAGGAAGTATATATACAACTTTACAAAAGATAAGCAGAACCGAATTAAACACCTCTTCTTTACCTATCCGAATTCTATTAAGATCCTACGGGCTAATCACGACGTTATTCTATTGGATTGCACCTATAAAACTAATAGATTTGGTATACCCTTCCTGCATATTACCGGCGTCACGTGTACTAGCAATAACTTCGAAATTGCCTATTGTTTCCTGCTAAAAAAGAAGGAGGCGAACTACAACTGGGCAGTACTGCAGCTCTTCGAGCTCTTTAAGCGCTATTCTCTTATTCCACGCGTTTTCTTAACAGATAAAGAACAAGCTCTAAGGAACGCACTACGTCAACAATAGCCTACAGTTGCGCGCCTCCTCTGTGTATAGCATATTAAAAAGAATATTATTACTAAACTGGCTAAGGTGTATAAGGAGGAACCTACGTACGCTGCAGGCAGCGCGCCACCTGCGCCTATATTAGATAAAGAGAAGGAAGCTATTTAGAAGAAGGAACAGGAGAAAAGGGGGCAGTTCCTTACCTGTTGGACCGCCACAATAAAGCTGGAAGTTATAGCTTAATTTAATAAGGCTTAGAAGAAGCTACTTAACAACTATAAGGAGCGCCCTAACCTGGTGATGTATATAGAGAATAAGTGGTGGCTATGCAGGTAGAATTGGGCCACCTGCTACACCTGTAAGGTGCGGCACTTTAGTACTATATAAGTGATTTTTCTTAACACTAAGACGTCTAAATTTAATACCTAAACTTTGCACAGGGTCTACGTACATGCTAAACAGGCAGCGCTAAAGAGGATAAGAGTATAGCTTAAAGAATAACTAAGAAATAAGGAAGTGGTAGAGATATATAATGCTGATTCGATTTCTTATAGAGTTATATCGCGAAACGAGGGCTTGCACGGCCTACTTAAGGGCTTCCTTCAGGTGTTAACTGGCCATCTATTCGACGTTCTCCT